CCCCCCAAAAAAAAAGCTCACCTTGAGAAGCTTTGTTCTTCAGCTTGTAGTACGTGTACATACCCAGCATGATCAAGTCAGCTGCAACGTAATAAATAGCTGTGTATTGCTGAATGAAAAGAAGAGAGACAAACAAAACGACACAGAGATCAATGGAAAAAAACGACTTTCTTAACACAGATTTAGCTGTTGTCATGGAATTTGCTTTAAAGAAACAAAACAACAACAACAACCAAAAAGCAGTCTACAAATGTTGTATGGATCAGTATTTCTATGCAGTCCATTGTGAAACTAAAACAACATGACACAAATTTTACTGATCAAGAAATAGTTAGCTGATATAAACTTGAAAAGATAAGATAAGATAACCTTTATTAGTCCCACACATGGGAAATTTATTTTGTCACAGCAGGAAGTGGACAGTGCAAAAGTTATATAGCAAAAATTAGAATACAATAAGAATAAAATACTGTACACAACTGTACAGAATAAAATACTATATACAGTAGAATAAAATATACAATAGGATGAAAATAGAATACAAATGCTTAATACAACTGAGTAAAAATACAACTTTGTCAGATAAAGAGTATCGCACTTAGTGTTATTGCACATGTGTGGATGTGTGTGTTTGATCAGTTGGAGTCTTTGTTGTGGAGTCTGACAGCAGTGGGGAGGAAAGACCTGCGAAATCTCTCTGTCAATGACACATTTTTGGCATTACACTGCAAACCACACAAAGTTGTTTTTTTGTTTTTTTTCGGGGTTTTTTTTTGTGTGTGTGTGTGTGGGGGAGTCTGACAGCAGTGGGGAGGAAAGACCTGCGAAATCTCTCTGTCAATGACACATTTTTGGCATTACACTGCAAACCACACAATTTATTTTTTTTAAGGGGGGGGAGGGGGGCATTAAATAAAGGAAATGTTAACAATGACACATAATTTCTGATGTTTTACAAACACCACTGAGCATCCGCCACTGCTTGTGATATTTTCTACATTAAACTCCACTTAAGGATCACATCCCTACAACTTACCTGAAGCGGAAGCTGATCTGCCAAAAATGAGCCAATCAGATTACAAGAGTCACCTCCCAACCACAACAGCAAAAACCAAATGGAGAGCGCTTGATCCATATTCCCACTTTTCCACGAGTTGTAATACTGCCTGTAATCAGAGGCAGTATTACAATCAGCATTACTGATCTGACTAATCAGAGAGAGATGAGATGGAAATATACAGGTCACTTAGTTCAGTTACGGTTTGCTCTGAGAGTCACAGACACCAACATAAAAACTTACGGAAATGAAGACACCAGGAAGCAGAGGATGGACAGGAGGCCCAGGTAGACGCTGGCCATATCTCTGGCATCCTGGGCACATTCCCCAAGGCCCTCCCAAACCCATTTGGACCCATTAGGACACAGAGAAGTGAAGTTTTCTGAAGTTGTCCATCCAAGGGTGGTGCGTGTGAGGACTCCGTCTGTGGACATTGTTCTTCAAGCTGACCGACGCCTCTGTAAAAACAACACCTTGAGCTTATAAAAGCGGCACTCCAAATCTTTGGAACCAGCTCTTCACTACACAGTCACTATAATAGCACAAGCGCGGAGGACACCACCGACAACATCGACCTCAAACTACATGCCGTTCGAAACAAAAATGAAAACAGCTAGCATCGCCCTAAAACTATTTTCAGACGTAATACAAAAACAGATAACAAGAAACAGTCTGTTAGCTTAAGCTGCTAAGCGGCAGCTACCTGATAACCGTTTCCTGGATCACGTGCGTGGCTTTTACGTGGATAACGTCACCAAACGACCCCACTCATAGTAAACAAAGTGCTAAATTTATCTTGCCTGTGAGGTGTCGGCGGAGTCCTCAGAAGAGCAAGTCAGAAATGGCAGGTAAAAACGAAGCAAGCAAGAAACAAACAGGTTCAGTGTGAGCTGATTGGTGGAGCCTCAGAGCCGTGAGTCACGAGTCACGTGATTACATACTCGTCACATGACCTGCGGTGCAAATTTAATGAGCTGGTCCTCTAAAAAACAAATTCAGTTTGACCGAGACGCGTTAACGCATTGATTTTAAACCAATATAATTTATCTGCATTTTGGTTATTTATAATGTCGGCAAATTATTATATAATAAATAAATAATTTTCTGATTCACACAATTTAATTGTGAAAAGTGTATTTAGACGGAGGGACATGCTTACAGTAGGTTTTCCCGTTATTGTCACATACCTGCAGAAGTGAGGCTCACACATTTCACATACTCTCATCACATATTGCCAAGTCCTGTTAAAGTGGTTCATTTGCCTCCATTAGTTATTCTAGCCTTTGTAGTAGACCACGTCACCAATAAATTTACTGCATTTCAGTAAGCAGCATACACACGATAATTACATCAATACAAGTTAATCCTGCTGTATGTTAGAAAATTAAATAAAAGGACAAATGTTCCGGTGAACTTTAAACTTCGACAGGACAACTAAGGCAATTTTATTAGAGGTGGCAAAATAACCTAATATTATAATAAAAATATTTCTGATCATTTGCATAATCCGCAACTAAATCCTACCTGAAAAGCACGATGAACTCCAACGTCAGATGTTGAACGGGACAGCAGAGAGAGGACTCATTTCCTTTTCTTTCTTTTTTTTTTTAAACACTCCACGATAGCGTCAGCTGACTGTCAGATTGGCGACTCAGCATCTAAAGTCTCTGTTGTCAGCTCGCGTGGCTTTTATTAACAGGCTTCCTAAGTTTCCGATGTCACGTGGTCCTCGGAGACCAGTTTACGCCGTGAGCAGACGCTCAAGTTTTATGTGTCAGAGTCATTACAACACGAAGAAACGCTGAGGTCGGTGTCGGACTTCCTCTAAAGAAACAGTGCATCAGCTCAAAGGAATCTAAGAGGAAATGATTCCTTTTTACTGACTGAAATCTGTTTAATGCCTTTCAGATACTTTAATGTAGACCTGGAATGATGAAGGTTGTAGGTTAATAGAATAGTTACTCACTCCTTAGTTAATGAGCCTGCAGCTTTAGTAAGCCTGATGATGTGCCAGAGTAAATTATTGACAGCTGATGTTACAAATGTATCAGATATTGTCTGTATAGTCGCTATTGATGCCGGTAAACATCAGGCTTTTTGTGCTTTCCTTGTGACAGGTGTATAACTGGACTGGAGGCTTTCTATAAAGAAATGTAGCCGTGACTGCTGTGAGCGGCACCATTCTGGACAAAGAAATATCCTGAAATCCAACCCGTAACAGGTCTAAACTAGAATTATCCGTCATCATAATGACAATACAGCAAACTCTGATAACCTCAAACCTATTCCACACAACACATTCTCTTTGTTATATTTCAAGAACAGGTTTTATTGATGACGCACCCAAACATTAATACGGCAGGAACACCTTCAGTGGGCTAGATTCTCTTATTTACACAACGTTTCCACAAAGTCATACAAATACTTGGTAGGCTTCTTGTCAAAGTATATATTTAATACATTAAACAGAACAGGGGATTTCTTTGTTTTTATAAAGCAATTGTCACAACAAATCTACATATGAAAAACGGATGATAGAAAAGAAACAACCTTTTCCTAACTACTGCAAAACAAGTTCTACTTCAAAATCTTTCCAAGCGAATCTGAATGTCCATGAAATAATAAGGGAATGCAGCTCTTCCATCTTTCAGTCCGTAAAGAGTTCTCAGAAAAGCAGATGTCTAGTGTAGTTGAGAGTAATTCTTTCAAAAGCCAAGGATGAAATAAACCAAGCTTCTTTTACAGAATCTCTCATCTGTTTTTTGTGTTTCCTTTCTCCAAAGAGAAGTGTGGGATATGAGGAAGGCAGTTTTTCACTTCTCTCATTTCCTTCGTGATGAGGGTCTCACTTGATGTGGACCACTTTCTCATCCGTTTTCAACCGTTTGCGTCGGGGCTGTATGAAGTCGTCCTCGGAGTCGTCTGTATTGTCGTCCTCCTTTTCTTTTTCTTGCGGAGATTCGGGTTCAGCTGTTTCAGGAAAGCTTTGGCCTGGGAAGATCTCCTGCAACTTCTCCTCAAAGTACAGGCTCACTGCCTTGCCGGATATCGCCATCTCTGATCCCACCTGTCAGAGGAGGAAGAGGAGGAGGTGGGAAAAGGAGTGACATGAAGGAAGATTGCGTGAGAATGCCATTGGGCAGAAAGAATGAATAGGTTGAAGTGGGAAGAGGAAGAGGAGAATGAGGAGACAAATTAGATCTGGTTAAGACTCCTGATGGCGGGGTAACCCCGGCTCAACCTTGATGTACAGAGCAGGGATTTCCTGCCTCCCTGTCCCACTGTGGCTCCCTGAAGTATTTCCACAATAAATGGAAGTTGCAAAATTTTAGTGATCTAATCAGCCAGTAGGGTCAAATATAGTATCTGAATATTTAAAGGTTGTTGAAATCCTCAGATGCTCACTATATGCACAAAGCACACACGTGCATGTCAAATAGAAACAAAAAAGCCGAAATGTAACAACTTCCACCCTTTCCAAACAAACAAACAAATAAACAAAACAAACAATTAAAAAGTAGTAGATAGGCACTGGATGCTCTATGGCTTACACGATAAAAATAAACAGACTTGAAGCCATCAACACAATCAAACAGAAACACTTTTAAACAGATTTATTTTGATTCTCCAAACACCCTCTCATCTGACATACTTTTCTTAACAGTGCGCAGTCAAAATGACACTTTAATCTTCATACATCATCTAAGGAAATTCTCTTCTCTTTAATAAAGGGGTACAACTTTTCTTGGAGCCTCAGTGGGAGGGGGCAGGAGATCTGCACTCCATTTGAAACGGCTTACCTGTGTATTAATCTGTTTCTCCTCATCATAAACCTGGATTATTCGAGACATCTAAAAAGGGGCAATAACATTACAACAAAGACAGTGAAGCAGCAGGGGGAAAGAAAAGAGTTCACAGCATAGGCAGGTAAAATAATAACAGATCAGAAATCTGTTCGGGCCTTCTGTGCTCGAATACAAAGGTGCGTATCCTCATTACTGCAGAAATTAACAGCAGGTAAAGATCGCACAGGATACAGGAAGCCACACGCAGCTAGTGATAACTTTAGTAAATACAAGTTTAGCTCTCTGGCATATTTTTTTCCTGTATCAACAACAGTCACATTTCTTGTTTTAACGCCCCAATTTCAATGCAAGTTTACATTAAAATGTAAATCGTACAGAATGCAATGAGAGTTATTTGTAAATCTCATAAACACACACAGTGAAACACAGAAAACATCAAATGTTCAAACTGAGGCATTTTACTGTTCCACAAAACAATATTAGCTCAATTTGAATTTGATGGTAGCAACACATCTTTAAAAAAATAAAATAAAAGGAAAGAAAGAAAGTTGGGACAGGACCATGTTTACCACTGTCTAGCATCCCCTCGTGTTTCAACAATAATCTGCAAACATATGGGAACTGAGGAGAGCTGCTGCTGGATGTTGGGGAGAGGAATGGGAGAGGAATGGGAGAGGAATAAGCAGTCCCATTCTTATCTCATGGAGGACTGTAGCCTGCTCAACAGTTCTCGAATTTCATTGTCATTTTCATTTCCACTTTGTCTCAGTCCATTTTAAATGAGCGTTGGCCCTGAGGAGACAACAGAGTTTCTGGATCACGTTCTTATGATTTTTTCCATATGTGTCAATTTCAATGTCATCAGCATTTTTAGTACCACTTTCTCTTCCAGACCTTTATTGGCCCCATCCAAGCTGTTTTGAGACCTGTTGCTGACACCAAATTGAAAATGAGAAAATAAGTCTCAGTTTAAACATTTTATGTTTTCTATGTTCCATTGTGAATGAAACATGGGTTTATGCGATTTACAAATAAATGCATTTGGGGGTTTTTTTGTTTTGTTTTTTTTTTTGTTACACAGCATCCCATACATTTTTTAAACTGGTGTTCTTTCTCTAACTGAAGCGCATCTCTGATGTCTCAACCACTGGTTTGTAATAAATGTATCTTTGGAAGCGACCACAGCATTTAACATGGGCACATATGCCATCAAGCAGCAGTGAATCCCCAGCTGGTCACATCTTTACCATTTTCCTCTTTCCTGACTCTCCCCGTTTCCCAGCTATACTCACTTCTATCCAAACGAAGACTGAAAAAAATGCCGAAAACTATAAACATAACTATAAATGAATTACCTAACTTTATATTTTGAGACTATCATAATCACTGGAATGACTCACTGATATTTGGCAACTCTCACTGAAAACCAGAAAGTATTTCCAAAACCCTAATAGCATAATCCAAGGCTTCAAATAAAGGCTTCGAGGATTTTGCTTCAGCGACCCAGGTGGTACCCAAGATGCTGCTAGTTTACACTTTAGTACTGCCACTCTCCAAAGTTCTCCATCATAACCTCGTAGGGCCTTTGAAAACCTCTAGTCCAGACTTATAGGAAGAGTATTTTCACCAGGCTCTGTGAGCATTTTCTGCGTTGGCTGTTCTGTATTCTGTGATAACCTCGGCTCTTGATTCTTATTAAAGGAATCCAATTTATTTGAGTAAGAATGATTTCTCAGGTTTTAATTAATAAAGGGATTAAATCTATCCAGAAAATCTAGGATTCGACATTTGTTCCCCTTATTACTGCCAAGACTGTCACATCAGTCATTACTCACTAATTAACAGCTCACTAATTACTTTCACTTGAGTCCTCTTATTACATTAGAGTGATGAGGTCCAGCTGAAATTTATTTCCTGTCATAATATTACATTCCAGCTAATCACATGATGTTTTGACCAACATCCTTCACAGATGAGAACCATACTTGCTGTTAATTTCAGTCACATTATACTACAATGCATCTATATAGTGAAGTCATGCTACAAGGCTCAGTGTTCACAGTCACTATTAGCCAGAACTGTAGGCCGAGTCCAGACTTCCTGATAAACCACCAGCATTTCAGTGCCACGAAACAACAAAAATAAAGACATCCATGTGTAACAATGCATTATTTCTCCTAAGGAGAATGTAGATGAACATTATGTGAACTGTATTAAAAATAAACAGGTAATCACAGCCATCCATTAAAAAGCAAAAATGTGGGGTTTCATTATAACGCAGACTGTGTTAACAGAGTCACACGGTGTTCTTGCAGCCAGTGTAAAAAGAGCACAGTGACACTCACTCCATCCTTTAACAGCCAGTGTTAGTGTACGAAACTGAACACACACTACCTAAACACCCAATTTCCCCTCGAAATACCAGGCAGTGTTCATAATCAGGTTAGACAGATATGACGGTTTGCCTTTTATTGTTTGACCATGAAAATGGTCAAATAATTCAATTTTTTGAATCGGCAGGCAATTCAAATATCAAACCATATCAGTCTAACCTACGTCTGCATGCACACACACAAGCAGATGCCATTCCCCGAAGCAGTGTCAAGACTCATGCTGCTCACCTCGTTGTATTTCGCACAGTTTTTGAAGACCAGACGCATATTGGACACAAACTCCTGGACAGACTGGTAGTACTGGGAATTCCGCAGCTGCAGCTTCTTCTTCACCTTCTTTAGGTCCATAGGCTGCTTGATTATCTTGTAATAGTTGGGTACCTAAAAAAGCAGGTCAGATAACATCTCAAATGATTTCACATGACTCCAAATATTTTTCTTTTGGTGAGACGTAAACAATGTTTTTAGATTGTAAAGATTTTAGAATTTAGAGATTTCCCCAATCTCCAACAGCAGATCAGACGTTTAGAAACAAAGATGCATTTAAACACTGTCATAACCCACAACTGTGGTAGCAGTAAATTGCAGCCATGCTATAGTGCAGTCCAATATAAATGGGCATACAGCAAAATGAAACCCATTATTAGCACAGCATGTTTGAGTAACTTATACAGAATACATGCCAAAGAACATGTGAAATAATACGGTACAAGTACGTTACTTTACACAAACTTGTGTGGATTTTGATATCTGTCGCAGGAGATCCTACCCTTTGGACCTAGTGT